CAAAAGTAATAGAGTTTTTGCAAGTTTTTATACAACTCTCGTTTGGGTGGGCTTGGTAGAGTCACACATCTGAGAAATTCAGTGAAATTGAACTTGGTGCTACTACTTACAACACACAAACCAGGAGAAAACCTCAATGAACTCTTTTTTACATGTTGCTATCTTTAAAAAAAAAAAAACCATAAAAGCAAGCTTCTCTTAATTTTCTCCTTTATTCACCCTCTCTTCCAGTTGAATTGTCTGTGTTGGAAATATAAGCCCCTGGGAATTAAATTATCAGAACTGGAGCACATAGTAAGAAAACTAAAGATATATATATACTCCAAAAGAGCAGGGCAAGATAGATTCTTAATGGAGTTAAATGAAGCATTTGGTTCCACAAGTTCCACTAACCCTTCAACAAAGCCAAATTAAATCCTCACGTTGGGAAGCAATACAAGAGAAAGAGAGAGAGGGAGAGAGAGAGAAACAACATTACCTGTTTAAAAGGAGTATAAAAATCCAATTAAGTTTTGAATTTTAATTTCCTTGCATGCGTAGCTTTGTGACACCGTGAAAAAAGGAAAATGTAAATGGCATTTTCACAGTGTTATCGCCATAATCCAGAGGCTAGAATATCCCGTCATAGTTATTTTGTCTGGCAAGGATAAACCCACCCCAAACTCACAGACTTTTAAAACTAAATTTGCTTTGAATGAGCGAATAATTGTGGCTAAACGTCTCTATAGGCTGATCTGTAATTAACGTATGCATGAAAGGCTGTTTTAAGGAGTTTAGCTTAGACCCCCAAAAAGAGATAAGTAGTTGGGGAAGAATATTTTACTTATTTCACAAATGTATCTAACCATCTCATAAAAAGTGACTCACTGGCATGCAACAGTTTAAATAAACCAATAAATATTAAAGCAAATATTACTGAATTGATAAGACAGCCGTTCTTAAAAACACCAACCATATATACATGCACAGAGATACAGAGACACAAACACACAGAGAGACATATACACACCTGCACACAGCCAAGAGTTTTCTGCCTGACCCCACTTGCCCGCTGGCTAACAAACCAAGTTCAAGGTCCTTGTGTTGGCCAATATGGACCAGGATCTGAATTCTTGTTGGTCAACTTTCTTTTGTACTCCAGTGGAAATATCCTCTTGATGATGTTACATTTGTAGAGGTGCACCAAGGTGAGAGACACCATGCTTCATTCAGGCACCCCAATGTGAAGTCCTTGGTGGTCTCTCAGCTTGGCAGGTTTGCTTGCAGATGTTTCATTACCGAACTAGGTAACATCATCACTGCTCTGATGGTGATTTGCAAACCAATTGTCAGCGTTGTTGGAATTTGGGCGAGTTGGTTTAATGTCAGGGTACCAAAGTAAAAAATCCATATCAAGCAAAATTCCAAGGCCAGTAGATTCCTCAGAGAATAGCTTGATTGAATATATCATAATGGCACAAATCAGTGTTGGGATTCAAAAATTTTTTACTACCGGTTCTGTGAATGTGTGGCTTGGCTTGGTGGGCATGGCAGGGGAAAGTTACTGCAAAATCCCATTCCCTCCCCACCCTACTAACCAGCTTTCCAGCTCTGTTCTCCAGTGCAGGGCAACCAAAGGAGACCCAGCCGATCAGCTGGGACTCAATGGGAGGCAGAGAAGAGATGGGGTTGGCGGGGCCCGTCAGAGGCGATATTTGCCGATTCTCTGAACTACTCAAAAATTTCCTCTACCGGTTCTCCAGAACTGCTCAGAACTTGCTGAATAACACCTCCGGCACAGATCTGGTGAAAACCAACTCTGAAAACTCCTGTGGTCCTGACCCAATTAAAAATAAATGCTTTTCTGCTTTCTCAAAACAATCAGTCACCTGGTCCAATAGGTTGCTTCTCCCTTTGATTGGTAGTTTCCACCCATTGCTTCTTGTCCTGCCTTCCGGTGCTTTGGAGAATTGGTTGACCCTCTCTTCTTTGTGGCAGCCCCTCAAACATTGGAAGGCTGCCATCATGTCACCTCTAGTGTTGCTTAGTGCAGTATTTAAAAAGTCACTTTGGACCTACGTGGCAGCTTGGGCAAAAGAAATAGGTAATTTCTAATTCTGTTTGTACTTGCCTTTGCAAATTACACAAGATGTTGGTGGGAATGAAATTCTCGATTCCCTTGTTCCTTCCTTCTGTGTGTATTTTATTTTAAAAAGGGAGTAAGGACCAATATGTGTCTCGCAGAATATTTCATTCAGCAGAAGCTGATTGAAAAAAAAAAACCAAAACGACGAGGACTAAACACTTAATTTACCTGGCACGTCGACTTGTTTTCTTTCCAGAGGCACTTTGTAAAGCACACCATGCCATGCCAACCTCTCAGCTCATTCCAAATATCTTTTTACCCCTTCTCTGGAAGGTTTTTTTTTTTAAATTAAAAAGAGGGAAAGAGAAAAGGGAAGGGGGGGAGTGTCTTGCCACATATATTTGCATCCAGCAGCAATTCAGCTGCTATAGTAATTGTATAGTAATTGATACATGGCTTCTACTCGTTCGTTGTGAATGTCAAAGCATTAAATATGAGTGCCCCAGGCCATGATTCAGGCAGAGTTTTGCTACTAAGTTAACAAAGACAGACAGACAGACAGATAGACAGACAGACAGACAGAGATTTATACCAGATAGATGGATGATAGATAGATGATCGATGGATGGATGGATGGATGGATGGATAGATAGATGATAGAGAGAGCATGCGAGAGAGAGATTTATACCAGATAGATAGACAGACAGACAGAGAGACAGATAGACAGATTTATACCAGCTGAGAATCTCAATTCTACCCCGCAAGAAGAAAATTATTTCCCAGGCAAGGTTTACAGTCAGAACAGGGAGGTGGTAGGAAGCAGACAGAACGAGAGGGAGGCCGAAAACATACTGGATTAAGAGATGGAGAAAATGACAAAGCAACAAAATGGAAAGATGATAGGCTTTGGAGAAATTGAATCTCACCCAGGTTGTGGATTATGGTTTTGGAGGGCCGGGTGGTGGGCAGCTTTAAGCCCTGAGCTGATTTGAAGGTGCGATGTCATAAGGTAAGCAATGAATGTTGTCAACGTGCACAGCCACAAGTGAGTTACTCTTATGAGGGCTGTGTGAGGCCATGGGAGTTGACCCTGATCGGCTCCTTGGTCCTGCAAAGTCAAAGTGTCAAAGTCATTGAAGATTGCCTTCAATGAGGCTCTTCAGGTAGAACTATCCAAAGATGCTCCTTTCACTAGTGGTGGACGAGAGGCATATCTTCATGTGCCTTTCTAGAGGGATGTCCAACCTTGTCAACTTTAAGACTTGTGGATTTCAAGTCCACAAGTCTTAAAGCATGGCTGGCTGAGAAATTCTGGGAGTTGAAGACCGCACATCTTAAAATTTGGCAAGGTTGGGCACCCCTGCCTTTGAGTGTCCATCAATCTTGCAAAAAGAGGAAAAGGACACCTTCCTTCCTTCCTTCCTTCCTTCCTTCCTTCCTTCCTTCCTTCCTTTCTTTCTTTCTTTCTTTCTTTCTTTCTTTCTTTCTTTCTTTCTTTCTTTCTTTCTTTCTTTCTTTCTTTCTGCAAGTGGTGGATTTTCCTTGAAGTATCTTTGGGTGCTTTCAGTAATTTACTAGAAGCACCTTCCGGCCATCACCAACTTTTCCAGAGTTATCCCTGGACAAGATGGACTTTACTTCCCAGAATTCCATGCAATAGCAAATCAGATTTTTTTGCGGGGGGTGGACATGAAGAAGAACTGAATCCTAGAATATTTTATTTTCCTTTCAAAGTTATTCAGTTCCCATTGGGTTATTCCTTATGATTTAACCAGCTTGTGTTTCGGCTGCTCTTTGGAAGAAAAATAATTTTAATCAGGATCGGCTATTCTTCCCCATGCTTTCTCTACTAATACAGCTGTTTAAAAAGGCTAAATTTCAGTAATATTCAAGTTTGCATTTTGCAGATGTTATTATTTCTTTGGCTGGAATCCAAGAATTAAAATGTACTTAAGCCGTGTTGTTAAGTACCCTGACAGCAACTGTGCAAACATATTTCAATGAGAAGCCCCTTAAACTGATTATTAAAATTTTAAAAGCTGCTCTTAAGTGCCGAAAACCCATCAGCCCAAATTGATCTGTCACCTTCAGAAAGACTCAAGGAGAGAACTAGAGTTCTCTTTGTAAGGGAAACTTCCCAAATTCTCATTTGAATGTCCGAACCGATGCAGCCGTCCCCAGTTGCTGGATTGTGTGCCTTGCACTGAACTTGTTCAGTTCCTCCTTAATTCTTTTATTTAAACAAATGTATATATTATCGCTTCACCTTTCAGTTTGTAAATCACTATGAATCAAATGGACAATAGCTCCCGGAATTCCTTGCAACAAAATCGTGGTGGGGAATTTTGGGAGCTGAACTTCACAAATTTGGAAGAGACCCAGGTTGGAGAAAATGGGGTAGGGAATCTTCATCAGTTTTCATCTCGGTTAAGTCTCCAGTCCTGAATCTCAGGCTAAGACTGTTAAAATTTTAGACTAAGCTTTCTCCCACAAGATTTTCTCCTGTTGTGCAGTCACAAGAATTGATTAACAACCACTAAGCTGGATGTCCATGGAGATTCTCAGTCATCCAGGTCATGGTTATCTCAAAGATGCTTTTTTTCAAAAAGTGAAGATGTTTCACTTCTCATCTAAGAAATGATGATGCTTCTTGGATGACAAATGAAATGTTTTCTTCCTTGAGAATAAAAATAGCCCAGTTACCTTTGGAAAAAAAAGCACTTTTGAGATACTAAGATGGATATTTTCCAGCCTACGTTGCTCTTAAAATTGACTTGCTGGTAGAACATTTGAACCTATCCAAGAAAGCAGATGAAGACTAAAAGGAAAGCATCTCTTGAAAGTCACGTTTAATGCTTAAAAAAAACCCCTCTTCTTCAGCAATCCATAATTTCTTCTGCAAATCTTGAGAGTGAATTCACCCATCTCTTATACCTGGTTTCTCTGAAAATAAGACCCACCTGGAAAATAAGCCTTAGCATGGTTTTTCAGGATGCTCATAATATAAGCCCCACCCCGAAAATAAGCCCCAGTTAAGATTGTCAGCCAGGTGGATGCATTTGGAACTATATTTCCCTGAAAAAAAAGACCTAACAGGAAAATAAGCCCTAATGCATCTTTTGGAGCAAAAATTAATATAAGACCTGGTCTTATTTTCAGGGAAACAGGGTATTTAGACAAGTTGTGATTGGTCACCTTGCTAAGATATTTGGTTGCAAATGCAAATTTTGGGAGTATTTTGTTTAGAACTTCCGCCAATGTATCTTTCTCTTCGTCTAGTTTTCTTCATGCATTTATTATGTTGAATGCCATAAACCCGAACCTGTTGCCAAGCATCCAGATTTTGGTCACATGACCAAGGGGATGATGCAATAGTTATAAGTGTGGAAAAATAGTCATAAGTCCCTTTTGTCAGTGACATTGTAAATTTGAACAATCACTAAATGATCTGTTTGTAAATCAAGGACTATTTGTATTCACCTTGGCATGCTGATAAAACATATTTCACATTCATCCTTGCTTGCCAAAATGTAGATAAACCCTAAGGATGTTACACATGAATTTGCATACTTGAGACCTTTAACTAAAATAGTGTATTCACAGCAAACTGAAAAGATTAGGAAAGTTTTCACCTGAGGATGGCCCGGTTCTGCTTGACTAAATTTCTAAGGACTTCTAATGCATAGTTTTAAAGAAATGTGGAAACAATTCATTGGCTCCTAAAATAGAAGATAGATATATATACATATTTTCCCATCTTCAAGCAGCCACAAATATGAACTTTTGCACTAAGTTAACAGGCTGACAATGAGATTAAAATGAAGGAAACTGGAAAGCAATTACATACCTAGGTATTATGCTAATACAATTACTGAAACTGCTAGCCCAAAACTGTTGATAAATTAGATAAGTAAAAGAGGCTGACCTGAAATTGTATTTTAAATAATTCCATATCATCCTTTCTGTCTAGCGTAATTGCTCTCCTGTGACCCAGGTTCCATTAAAAGTAAATTCCTTTTCAGAAAAGAAAAATATATGTTCGGCACACAATGATTAATATAACAATGCCTTCTCTTCTCAGCTGGCAATGATGTTATATCAACGACACAAATAAAGAAAATGAACTTGCTCAACATGCTAAAAACTTACCATGTGCTGTCATTTTAACAAATTGCATTACAAAATGTTAAAAGTTCAGAATCCTCGGATGACCTTTTTGATAAAACATTTCCTACCATCCACCGAGAGAAAGGATGCAAATGTAATTATTATTAATATTCTTCTCAACAAAACAAGGCTACGGTATTTCTAGTTTTCAGAAATGCATCTTCTGCCTGAAACCCGTTGAAGGATTCCAGGTGCAGAAAATTTGAAGACAAATATAAATTATTGGGGAAGGAGCCATTGATATTAAGACTGCAATTCTGTAATTCTATTTCACCTGTGAAATAATGTTCGATAAAGGTTATTTTCTCTCTTGCTGAGGTTACGAATCAAGACTTAAGAAAGATGGCTTGGCTCCTGAAAGTCCAATTTCTGAAGCGGAGAGTATTTACTGGCATGGTGAAAAATGGTGAAAAGATCAATATCCATATTTGTCCACTAGAAAGAACCATGAATCTTGACTTCTGTTCAGCTCACATGTAAACCTTTTGCCTTTATCTACCCCACAAACCAAGGATGACCCATGGAGTTACTTCTGAGTAGGTTCTTTATTGTTGTTCACCTACAAACAGAATGTCCCAATAGTTATTTTTCAAAAGGCAGCTGGACCTCCTTGGTTTTTTT